ACCGCGACCAGGGCGCTGACGACCCGCCGCACCCGCCCCCGTCCCCCGCGGCCGGCCCCCGGATCCGCGGCCGCCAGGCGAGGCTCGAGCTCGTCATGCGCCTCGCCGCCGACCGCCACGCCGAGCTCCAGCGCCTCTCCCTCCGCCGCGCCGTCTCCGGCTTCCCCCACCGCAACCGAATCCACGTGCGTCGCCGCATCAGCGCACTGTTCCATTAGCTGTAGCACGATTGCTCATTTCTTACTAGAGATTTTTCCAACCACCATAGGCGCTGCTCCGGGGAAGGTTTCTGCGGAACGGCGGCTTGCCGGAGGAGGAGAGGAGGCAGCCGTCGGTGGCCGCCAGGGAGCTCGGCCAGCTCCGGCAGCGCCACCCCGTCTCGGGCCTCAGGTCAGCAAGCTCCCTTCTTTATCCTTGCTGCTGCTGCTGCCCATGCTTAGTGGATAATAGCAATAGCATTCCATTTATTTTCCTGGAAAGGATTTATGCAAGCGAAATTATTGAGTTTTTGGACTACTGATTGACGCGTCATTGTCGGAACATCCTGATTCTGTTGCTTTGGTTGGAGGAGGTCCATCTTACATATGGAGTGCCCATGCATGCATGATTCTTAGTGGTTAGTTGTACTGATGCTGATACCGCTACAGTTCGATCATTTTGTTTACGCTCCGTTTTGCTGATATTAGTCTCAATCAACATATGATGGTCGGAGTAATGATGCTTATATGATGCCCAAATGAATGACAAGGTTCCAATAACAGAGCAATCGATGATGTTAAGCAAGCATTTACTCGCTGAACTCACAAATTTTGTTTTTGTCCTGTTTCATAATGGTTACCTGGAGATACAATGTAAATGAAGTGCGTGAATTTTTTCTTCATCTGAAGTGAAATGCTGTAATCTCATACGCGAGTTGGGGACTGATTTAGCCGTTGCACTTATAATGTACTTGCATGAATGTTCTACTGTGAACTAAAAGCGTTCCCCTTCAGATTGGAGAATCTCGTACGAGGTCAAGCAGCTAGCCGGTCGGATTCATCTTCAGCTCAGACTGTTGAGCTCTCAACCATTGACCATTCTGAATCAAGCCGTACTGCTTCTTCTGAAGATACCCAGGACACACGTCAACAGGCAAACGATAATGTTGGTCTTCAGCGGATTGGAGATGCAGCAACAGGGTCAGATTATGGAAGCAATGCTCCGAGTATTGCCGAAGGATTGTCCGAGCCTCATAGTCAGGAGGAGGGTTGGCAGGAAGATTTGGAGGTGGTGGAGAGAAGAAGAGACTGGGATCAGTTTTCCCATGCTATTACTACTACTGGGGAAGGATCTGAAAGAAACTGGATTGAAATTGCGGACAGCAGTTCATCATCGTCTGATGAGAGGACAACAGAGGCCGGAGATCATCAAGGGGCCTCGTATCTTCTGGAAACAAGTGATGAGTCCACAATTAGTGATACTAATCTTCCTGAAGCACATGAAGAGCAGCTTGACAGTAACCATCTCCCCGAAGCGCTTGAAGGCAATAATCATCTCCAAGAAGCACGCGGAGAGTGGAACAGGGAGGGTAATGATCCCGCAGAAGTGCGTGATGAGTGGCACAGTGGCGGTCATTTTCCAGAAGTAAATGAAGTGTGGCATGACGACGATGAGTCCAATGGGAGTGCGCATAACTGGCATGATGATCATTCAGAGCAACCCGTTGACCAGGAGTCTACGCTTATCAGAAGAGTTAATACATTTACCCCTGGTGATGACGATAATGTGTACAGCACAGAACTAAGGGAGCTTCTAAGCAGGTTTTTCTTTCTTTTCTTTCTTGTACCAAGAGGAGCTCAGCACCAAAAGCGACTTATTATTCAGTACGTACGTACATAGTCTAAATTAACGCTGATATATGCATTGTTCAATAATTCTGCAGAAGGAGCGTTTCTAATCTTCTTGATAGCGCTTTCCGTGAAAACCTAGACCGCCTTATCCGGTCATACGTTGAACGGCAAGGCCGTGGTCCTCTCTCTTTGAATCTGCAAGGAACACCTGCGGTAGCAGCAGCAACCCCTGACCAGCAGGAGCAAGATCAAGAAGAGCAGCGGCATGGAGATGACGACGAGGAACAGCAACTTCTTCGTGATGCTGCAAATGTTAGGCCCCGCTTAGTGATTCCACCTCCACCTATGCCTCCTCGTCAACCACTTTGGCATTCGGAGTTGCATCATAACAACTGGATGAGACAGAATATCAACCGTTCCGATATCGTGAGCTATTCTCTCTGACATTCTTATTACTGCACGCAGTTTTATTCACTTTTTAATTTGTTTTGCTGCATTAGAAAATGTGGTAAAAGGGGGAAGTTCCAACTATCCCAAAGACCAATTTGTTAGGAAGAGGAGATATAATGTATCTAACCCCACCCCACCCCCTCACGCCCGACTTGGGCAGAGATAAATGATTGGGAGAAATGCGGGGACTGAGACTTAGGTAGAAGTGAGGCACCTGCGGAGGCTCTGCCTCGAACATGGGTGGGCGAGCTCACAGGCGTGCGCTCTAGCCAACCAAGCCCTGCTCGGTTCTCGTTTGCATTAATTTGGACTATTTTGTTTGTTGGCATTTAAAAATGTGGTTAAAGGGGGAAGTTCCCTCCCTTGACTGTACATTTTGTTTAGGTAGAAACGAGGCACCTGCAGAGGCTGCGCCTTGGATGCGGGTGGGTGAGCTTGCAGGCATACGCTCTAGCCAGCCAAGCACCGCTTGGTTCTTGTTAGCTTTAATTTGGACTATTTTGTTATAGATAATTGGATTTACAGTGACTTCCCTTCTTTGTAAGATTGATGCGAGAACATTTTAAGTTTTTTAGGTCAGTTTTGCAGGCTATATATCAAAAGCTAAAGGCATATAATGTTTCTTGTGGTTTGCTTCTGCAGGAATGGGAGGCTATTAATGATTTGAGGGCTGATATGGCTAGACTTCAGCAAGGTATGGGTCATATGCAAAGGATGTTGGAAGCTTGCATGGATATGCAGCTTGAGTTACAACGTTCTGTGAGGCAGGAAGTTTCCGCGGCCTTGAATCGCTTCATTGGGGAGCAAGGTTAGTAACTCCTGTTTTCGTTATGGTGGATCCTATGCTAATTTACTAATTTAGAAAGGAAGACATGGCCTGGGCAGGCTGGGTCTGCTCTTGTACTTAAACGACGATTGTACCCTGAATGCCGATGTACGTGGTGTCTCAGGGGAACCCAAGGAGACCATCGACGATGGATCGAAATGGATGAATGTGAGGAAAGGCACTTGCTGTGTATGCTGTGATACTCCGATCGACTCTCTTCTGTACAGGTTGGTTTTCTATCCATTTTTTTTGGGTGCAAGCTGTCGAAACCTATGATTGGTTATTATTATCATCCAGTAGTGCTGAGCATGATTTTCGTGGGTGGCGCAGATGTGGGCACATGTGCACGTGCTCGAAATGCGCGAACGAGTTGGTTCGAAGCGGAGGGAAGTGTCCGCTGTGCCGCGCACCCATTATTGAGGTGATCCGAGCTTACTTCATCATGTAACTAGATGGTACGTAGAATATACGAGGAGGAAAGGAAGAAGAAAGGCGATGGAAGCTTTCTCTTGCAGCAAAGGATAATATAACCTGGACTATGATATGATGATGATGATTGTTTGATTTTTTTTGGACACATTGGTTGGTTGGTTGGTTGGTGTGGGTGTGTGTATAATCCTTGGTCTCGCCAATGTGTCAGTTTCCCCCCTCCTCTGATGTAGTGTAAGTACTCCCTCCGTTCGGAATTACTTGTCGCAGAAATGGATGTATCTGGACGTATTTTAGTTCTAGATATATCCATTTCCGAGACAACTAATTCCTAACGGAGGGAGTATATGTGTTTCTTGGGTGGTCTTCACTGATTTTATTCATGGGTTTTTTCTTCTTCTTCTTCTTCTTGCAAACAAAGTTGACCTGGTGAGATTGCTCAGCACTCTTGAAACAATTATTGATGCCTTACATAACATGGTCCTAATAATCGTGCTGAGATGAAATGGAATTCATGTTTGGGTGGAGAAGAACATCGTCCTATAAGCGCGCTTTGTCAGGATGAATAATTCTTGGTTGCCTGACATTTCTCACACAAGCAATTTGCATAAGAGGGCCTGAGGATCCATTTACTTGTTTGTTTGTTAAATTGGAAACCATTTGGATCTATTTACACAGGAGGATCTATTTACTTGTTTGTTTATAAAACTGGAAACCATTTGGATCTTTTTTGTATGTTGTACTGTACTTTGCAAGTGATTTTGAAGGACCAACATAAAAGTTTCCTTTCCTGTGACAAGCACAATATGCAACTAATCGTCCAGACTTTCATCTAGACCTCAAATAGATTCTTTGGAAAAACCAAACCCCCGCTGCATGCCTCTTTCTCACCCTCACTATATCTTCTAGGCAAAGATCGACGACCCATATTTTTCCTAGTCCAGAGGGCGCCATATGCAAAATTAGTCTTCTCATGCATATACATACCTACCAGGCATAATATAGCCGTTGCAAAATATGACCGTTGAGCCGTCGACCAGACAGAATATGGCCGTTGCAAAAATTTGACCGTTGAGCCGTTGGAGATATAGCGACCGTTCGAAAATATATATAGCAACTACAGTTTCAACGGTTACAGGAATCACATAAAAATTTTGACGAGTCCGTGGCGGCGGCGACAATGGTCCTTTAGTGGTCCATGAATCTCGATGCGATTTGTATTATGTTTGAGGTGTCTTGTATTTCCGGTGAATCTTTATAATAGAGATCCTTTTTTGCAAAAAAGAAAAAAGAAATTGACAAGTCAAATTTGAAGAGTTGGTTGGACACCTCACGGCTATAATGATTCTTTTTATCTTCTGCTACCTCTGCCAAGCGGGCCCCACACCTCGGTGACCGACGGGCAGTAAAAAAATAAAAAGCGAGGCCCCAGCTTCACTTCCAGCACACGAGTGGAGTGGCGAGCCATGGACACTCCTGCCGCCGCTCCGCCGCCGCCGCCGCCATTCTCCGACGCATCCGACGCGACCTCCTACTCCGACTCCGGCTCCGGCTCCGGCTCCGGCGGGTTCGTATTCCTGCACCCTCCTTCCTCCGGCGAACGATTCCTCCCCCTTCTACGCCCCTAGATAGATTAGATTAGATTAGAAATAGATAGATCTCTGATGCGTCTGCGGCTGCAGGTCCGGCGACAGCGAGGAGGAGGCATCCTCGAGGGTGTGGGATTCACAAGGTACATACTTTTCCCCCTCCCTCCCTCCCTGCCACAATCTTCTCTCTACCTAGTGGGATTCCTCATCCCTCCCTTTATGTACCTAATAATGGGGCTATAATTCAGTTCAACTTCATAATATCATTCATTCATTCTTTACATAAGATAAGATGATGCAAAATTCACTTCATAGCAGCACATTTTTTGCCCCCCTACCCACCCATTGTCATGTGCGGTGAGGAGATTGATTTTCTCCCTGTATCTGACTTCTGACCTTGGGCATGAGGCTTCGATGGTCTTGCGATATTTCTATGGTTTCGCTCCCGCGTCGTCGTCGTCGTCGTCGTTGCCAACGTTTCTGCCTGTTCCTGCGCAGATTTACGCGCCCAGGCGGAGCGTAACGAGGAGCAGCTGCTGGCCGCGATGTCGGTCGACCCTGCCCGCCTTCCGGCTCTCAACGATGTGCTCCTCGAGGTGTACGCCGTGCTGCGCCCCAAGCCCGCCGACTACGAGCAGCGGAACGCCTTGGTTGATGTCTTCAGCAAGATGGCAACCAGAATCTTTGGTACTACTATAAGAGATGATATAATTTTTACCCCTTCTTACTAATAATGTAGTCACTGAACTGAATAGCATGTTGAACTTGGCTCGCAGGAAAGAGAAAGATAATGTCATCATAAATTTTACTCTCTTGCTATAAGAGTAGTATTCGTCGTCGGTTATGCTCTTTGTATTTGAGTTTTTTCGAATGCTCTCGTTACTCGTTACTGTAATTTGCTTACTTTTAACACTTGTCACTGTTAGAAAGAAAGGTGCATAAGCACAGTCTATATGGTGCTGTTAAGAAATAGATAATGTCACAGGCTCGCATTTTAAATATTCTAGGGTGACATCAGCACAGACCGATATTCATATCAATATGTTCCACCGTATAGCTTAGCAGGTGTTGTTCTGATTATTGCTTGCCCATTTGTCTCTTACATGCATGCTGATTTGACCCCCCCCCCCCTCTTAACAAATCATTGCAGGTAACGACAATGGGTTTCCAGTCGTGCAGGCATTTGGGTCATTCACAATGGATTTATTTACTCCTAAAAGTGACCTGGATCTCTCTGTCAACTTTAGTGCAGAGATTGAGGATCAGTGTCCTCGCAAGAAAAAGATGAAAGTTGTCAGGAAATTCGCCAAAGTTCTATACTCCCTTCAAAGTAACTATTTCCTTAAGCTGAACATTTTTTGAACTAGTCTCCTGTGCGTCCATTGACCGGTTATAAACTTTCAAGCTCTTCACTCTGCATTCTTGTGTGGTTTTATCTTCATCAACGCCAAGTATCACCCACTCTTATTGAGAAAAGAACTTGATACTGAAAACTCTGTAGAATGCTTATATGTACGTACCAAATCTTCAAGTGGCCACAAAATCTCATAAAAGGAGGAAAAACAAAAGGACATCGCAATATGAATTACAGTTTGGGCCTTGACAGCATAGCTTGTTTTTGGTCATACCATGTTATTTTACCATAGTTTGTTCAGAGTTTGTATAGATAAAGGAAACAACCTTATGTTCTCAATTTCAGGGGACGGAATTTACTGTGGAGTTTTACCTGTTGTAAGTGCTAAGGTGCCTATTGTGAATGTTATTGATCGGGGAACTGGCATCGAGTGTGATATTACGGTTGAAAACAAAGATGGCATGACAAGATCGATGATTATCAAATTGATTTCTTCACTTGATGAAAGGTTTCAGATACTAAGTTACTTGGTAATGTATCTTCATTTGATCATTTTCCTAGGTGGGGTAACATACCAATGGTTGTTGGTTATTCTGAAGCTATGTGACAACAGTAACTCCTGGTCTTGGTTTTTCTGTTTATGCTGCAGGTTAAGACCTGGGCTAATATACATGGTGTGAATAGCCCGACAGCGCAGACAATGAGCTCGATGTCAATCATTTCCTTGGTTGCTTTCCATCTGCAGGTACCAAGAATGTATTCATTTTATTTAGGTTCTATTATTACATCACAAGTAATTAAACCCCAAGTCTCTGGTTTGTTTTGACTAGTGACTGTTGACAAGTCACTGCATATCTGGACTTGGATTTCCTTTTCCTAACATCTTAGTGAGTGGTAGCTCAGCAGTCTAGGTGTTTAATACTACTTTGATTTGTTTATCTGATTCTTACTGCTTTTACAATGGGCAGCGCAGACCCGCCATCCTCCAATATTACCCGCGTTCTCTGCCTTGTTAAAAGGTCTGTCTTCTTACCTTTTCTTCTTCAGCTGTACCTTTTTACCTAGAAAAGATGATGAGATAACTATCTTGTTTTGGCCCCTTGCAGATGGTTCAGATTTCGCAAGTGTTGAGAAGAACATCTCGCTCTTTAAGGGGTTTGGGAGCACAAATAAAGAATCGGTAGCTGAACTTTTTGTAACACTGATGAATAAGGCGAGTAATTTTTATATTCACTTTCTATTCTATTATATTCATTTTTGCTGTGTAAGTTATGTTCATCATACTTAAATAATGCCTTACAACAACACATTTACTTCAGCTGTTTTGGATTATATTATCGCCCTGCAGCTACTATCAGTGGAGAGTTTATGGGAGCACGGGCTCTGCGCTAGCAATTTCGAAGCATCGTGGATCTCCAAGACCTGGAAGAAAGGAGTTGGTAATCTAAGTGTAGGTATTCTGCACATTGACTAGTACTACTAATAGGTAACAGAATGCCATCCAGACACATTGTGCCCATTATCATTATTATTTCTCTGGTCCTCGTCATCGTATAGGTTGAAGACTTCTTGGACCGGTCGCAGAACTTTGCGAGGGCGGTAGGGAAGACGCAGATGCAGAAGATCTGCACATGCCTTGTAGTTTGCGCTTCGAACCTGACAGATTTCATGAAGGGCCACATCGACGCGTCGAAGCTCAAGACCCGCCTGTTTGGGCGCCTTAACCCCGACGATCTGGTCAGCAGGCCTCGTCTGAGACGCGGCAAGAGGGATCTTAGCCCGGAGGGCAGACGTGGGATCCAACAAGAGAGGACTAAGCGTGCTGCGCGCCATGAGGAACCGGCGCACCAAGCTAATGCTACGCCCAGCACTGCTCGTGTTGCCACGGTTATGCGTCCCGTTCGACATTGTCGGTTCCTGGGCATCCAGTCTAGTGGTGGCGCGCAGTTTGCGTGCAAGCCATGGTGGCCCTTTAGGATCGTCCCTTCAGGATACGGCTATGGGTTATCCGTCCGGTTGCCTCCGAGAGCCCCCCACCCTGGCCCAGGAATATTGGGGCGAGCCCCGGGTGATCTGATACGCTCGAATAGTGGAATTCTGCTGCCGAAGCAAGGCCCGCTTCTCCCGACGCCATTGCGGGAAAGGTCTGCCGGCACGCGTCGCACGGGCAGCGGTAGAGACGAGCAGCTCCATCCAGCGCAGTGAGCAGAGGGACGGTGGAGTTCTTGCTGGTGTAGGAATGGGTTTTAGCTTGTTGTTTGCGCATATGCTTTTGGAGCTGTGCTGACTGCCAAGCCAATCCTGTATTGGTGTATCCTTGGTGTCATTGTAAATGCCTTCTGGTTCAAGAAAAACTGAAGCTCCCTCCTCGAGTAGTCATATTTTGACATATACTCCCTCCCTTCCCTCCCTTCTTAAATATAAGGCTTTTCAGAGGTCCCAATGCGAATTACATACGGAGCAAATGAGTGAATCTATACTCTAAAATATGTCTATATACATTTGTATGTAGCTCATATTGAAATGTCTAAAAGGTCTTATATTTAGAAACGGAGGGAGTAGTAACTAGCATCAACTACCGTTTCAGTTCTGCAACTTTGACATATAACTTCCACACAAAATATTGCAACTTTTGACATATATTAATTATCATCAAGCACACGTACAACAATTTGCTCCTACAACAAATCTACTAAGACATGTTTAAATCGAGTCAGAACAAACAACTGAAATCTGATTGATGCAATTGTATTGTGCTCAGTCTTGCTCAGTCTTCACCGTTACACGGCGATTTCAATTTCGAGGTGATTTCGATTTCTCAAACGTGCGCAAGACCAGACTACCCGGGCTAACAGGGACTTGTGCTTACATATTTGTTTGCTTGGGAAGGGCCGTTTTGCGTCTCTACGATAGCATATTGATTTATTTTTCCATCTCAGACACCAACAACCAAAATGCGTCAAATTTCCGTGTGACACAAAACGGTCAGCTCTAGGGCCTCCCAATCGGGCCACGGAGCCTCACGGGCAGAACTCCAAAAAACTCTTGTTGTGCACGGCAAGAAGATGTGTGTCCCCGTCTCCGGAGTAGCACAAAGGGGACACATCCGTTACTACTTGAGACCCAGGAGCGCGCTGGCCTCCCACGCGCAGCATCACCCATCCCAGGAAGTGGAGCCGCCTGAGCCCGACCACCGCTTCCTGGACCTAGGCGGTGAGGACGCTGCGGGGACTTTTCTGGTGGCCGGGGTGAAGAGAGCCGAGGGCGCCATCGCCTGGGAGTACGAGTCGAGGGTGAGGCTTCTAGAGGCCAGGTGTGAGGAGGCGGCCGGGGCGGTGCGGGCGGCGGAGCAGGACACGAGCTACATCACCGACGAGCTCTCCCGTAAATAATCCATCATCGTCGGCTCATCCATGGATTTGATTGGTCGTTATTAGTGATTCTAAGCTCCATACTGATGTGATCATTTACGCAAATATTGTTTCCAGAGTTGAGAATCATATCCGAAGAGATGATACCAGACTTGAACTGTGAGGATCTGGAGGAGCAGAATCAGAGGCTCAGGGTGGAACTGGACGCCACGACCAAAGAGATCGAGTGTAAGACATAGAAGATAGCAAAATTGCAGGAGCCGGAGAAGGTATGCTCATGCCATTTCTTGTCTCAACTCTAAAATGATGTCTTACTTTAAAGGGGTTTGGGAGCACAAACATGCAGGCCAGCCTTTGACTGGGCCCGCACGTGAGACACATCCGTTGGACGATCGAGACCGGCCTAATTCACTTCCTACTCTGAACCAACCTAATCTCATCCTTAAATGTGACGTGGATTATCGTTCCAATCCCCATCCCCATCAGGGGGCACTGGTTTGAAATATGTTGCAACTAAATTTTTATACTAAACATTTTTATTTTTCTTACCACTAAATAAATACATGTCAAATTCTTATTAATACATATTTTGATAGAAAATTATTACCATTATTATTGTTTGTTGGTTTAAATTAGTTTTGTTTGTTAAGATACATGTTATTGATTCATACTATGCTATCTATTAGCACCAAATAATATTTTTCATTAAAAAATGCTCTATACTAGAAATATTTTTTTCTTCATAGGAACCGTAACTTAGAGTATTTAAGTAAATTATATCATGGAATGTCTTATAACATGGTTATAAGTAGTTGCATCTAGACGTCTAAATATGTTGGTAGAGTAGTCTAGGGCACATGGGTCTCACAATACAAATATCCTGGCAAAGATTATCAAGAGTAGGTACAAGACTATTTCTCAAAAAATAGTCGAGCCTTTGTGGGTTCAAATGTCCTTTATCGGTTTGTCATCGACAGCCTCAGAGCCCAGAATCAGAGCCCAAGGGACATAAACCACACAAGCAGTAATTCTTTTTTTATTTCTTACATTAAAGAAAAACGAGTGTAGGAAATCCTCCTATCTCACACTTCAAATTTAAAATGCGAGGACAATGACCAAAACCACAGCTCCAACTGAATCAATCCCACTTTGCAGTAAAGATCGAGGACTCAATAGATTTCCTCCACCGCGCGACTTTCGTCTAGACCCAGAGAGGTACTCGGCAGCTACCTCCCTCCCACGGCAACCCGAAATTGACCCTGGCTCTCTTCTAGGGAAATATTATGGCTGCTGCAAATATAAAACCTCTGCAAATACTATGATCGTTGGAAATTTAGCCATCCAAAAGCATAGTTGTTAGAGATATAGTTATTGAAATAAAGATACTAGTAATTACAAAGATCGACGGTAGGATTTTGGGTGCTAAAGGTGGTGCGAGGCTATCAGTAGGTAAAGATCGACGACCATTTATTAATTTGTCGCACGGTCTAGGTCTGCAAGCTTACTCTTCTCATGTATGTATAGAAATAGAATGGAATAATATATGGCCGTTGCAAATATGTCTCTTAGAACTTTGGCCGTACATAGAACAAAAAAAGAGGTCATTGCAAGTATAAACATAGAAAATATGACCATTAAAAAACATAGCCTTTAGAGACATTGGGATTACACTAAAGAAGACAATGATTACAAAAAGATAGAAATTACAAATTTCAACAGTTACATGAAATTAATAAAAGTTCGAGGATTTCGTTGAAACCGTGCGGTAAAATGGGAGAGAATATTTTGAGATGACTCAAATGCTGGCATATGAATTTGAGAAGTCAAAATTGAAGTGTTTGTTGGACCCCTCACAACAAAAATTTGAAGAATCTTGAGCCTCCTTTTCCCCATTCCCACCTCTATCAAGCGTGCCCTATTTCTCAGTGATGGGCATAGTAAAGAAAGGAAGAAAGCTCTAGCTTCACTTTCAGCACATGGAGCCATGGCGACTCCTGCCACTTGGTCTCCGCCGCCATCTCTGCCGCTGGTGAATTGAAATGATCTGCGGTCATGTAGTACAAGAGCAAGTCCAACTGGAGCCCTATCCTAGTCTTTGAATGCAAAGTTCAAGGTTTCTACAAACATCACCGCCCCTACCGCGGTACCCTATCCCGCTTCAAAAAATTTGGATTCACCGGATCTCGTTCACTGCTCTCCTTTCATCCAGGTGTTAATAGACATGGGTGTTTACACTGTAAAATGTAACCTCAATATCTCCCTCTCTTCCGAACGCATGTGATTTTAAGATGAGAACTAACAACCTTAATTAAGTAGCATATGTTTACTATAAACATATGTATCCTGTAAACAACCGGCCATCGTGTTTGATCAATAAATACCACACGGCTCTCCTTGTTGAATAGTAGGAACACTTCAATCTTGTACCTGGTATACAAAGCCAACCGCTTCCCTATCATCTAGGTACGGAAACAACATTTAGAAACCTCATGCCATGGCCTCCAACTCGGCAGCCATTGTTAGATTGTATGTATTTATACCTGGCTTCTATATGTGTCTTCTATATTGTATTGTAAACTCCGTGTATCCCTTTATATATATGAGATAGTTACACCCATTACGGGTGTCGAGCAGTTTCCCAAACCCTAAGTTTAACATGGTATCAACCCAGATCGGTCATATGTCTTCCGCTGCCGCCCTAAGCCCGATCTCCGCCGCCGCTGCCACGCCGGCCTCTGCCACGGTTACAGCTCGTCCGCAGGGAAGCGTGAAGTTATGATGGTTGCCCATCAGGACCACGACGGACTGCTCGTTCCAGCCATCGCGGTCATCTGCTTCATTTTGGCCATCTTCATTTGCCTCTCAGCTGGCATAGCAGTGCATGTCACCAAATACGGCAGGAGCGCGGCGCAGTCCATCAAACGGAGCACACTTGGCAAATATGCGATGATTTGTCCTCTTTTTTTGGGTTGGAAAATATTAATACGTTAGTAGTAACCCTGCAGGCCGGAATCTGGCGCCGTGCAGTAGAGCCCTGCGATGCGTGCATGCTTTTTTTGTCAGATGTATACGGTAGCTGCTAAGTTGAAATACATCAGTGCCGTGGGCTGCTGTGCCAGAGTTATACGCGGGCCTCGGGTGCGTGCTAGATACACAGGCACGTCCTGTGCTTGCTGGGCTCGTTTGAAAACAGTGCACGTAGGTGAGCGGTGGCAAGTGCGATATTAATCCTGGGCCCAACTGGCGATGCAGGTGACTTGATGCCCGAAGCGGTGCTTCCTCCTACCCTCGTCAGTCATTCATCCCCTTCCAGTTCGTGGCTGTGCGGAGCGGATTCATCCCCTTCCAGTTCGTGGCTGTGCGGAGCGGCGTTTCGCCATGGATGGCCTCGAGTTCTTCTTTGAGGAAGCAGAATCAGGGTAAGAACCAATCTCACTCCCTTTTTCCTCGTTGCGTTGCTTGCCCCCGAGAAGGGAGTATTTCTTTGATTTGGCGTTCAGATTCTTGTATTCGTCCCTGATTTTTCTTCAGTTATTCTTCTACCTGATGATGTTTGGATCTGACTAGATGAGGATTTTACATATACTACAGATTGGTTCCTAAGGCTGATGCGGGTGATTTATTGGGTGGTGGAATGGATGTTGTGGAGTCTGTGGTTGCTTCCATCCATGAATCCTCTGATGTGATTTCTTCTGAGCCGATTGGTGACAACAGCGACAAAGAGCAGTTCAGAGTGGTGGGCGCGAATCTCAGCTCAGAAAACGATATGGCGGCTCAGAAAACTTCCTCTGCGTCAATGGGAGAGGAGGGAGATGCAGAGGGGGTCGTCGTCAA